TGGAGGTCAGGGATATTGCTGAAGTCTACAGTGTACAAAACAGCCCCCACCACAACAAAGTAATCCAGCCCTGAATAGTTACCACTGTTGAGAAAGCCCGAAGTGATTGAGATAGTTGGAACAATTGGCTAACCATTTGGGCAAAGAAAAAGAAAAGTTAGATCCTGACTCATATTGCTACTAAAATAACTTCAAGTTAGGTGAAAATACATTTTAATAAGTAGCATCTTTAATATTTTAAATAAGATTTAGAAGAAAACAGATACATTTTATCCTTATGACATAAAGACTTTCCTAATCACAAAAAGCAGAAATGATTAAAGAACTAGTGAGTTAACTCCATAACCATGCATAAACATCATACAGTTCATCTTAGCCAAAAGGCTGAGAAGTGATTAAAAAAAAAGACAAAGAGCTGTAACATGTGAGACAAAGGATTAATATTTTCAGTATACAAAGTGCTCTTAGAAGTAATTAAGAAAAAAACACCACAGGGCGGGGATGGATTTAGCTCAGTGGCACTGTGCCTGCCTCCTGAGCGCAAGATCCTGAGTTCCATCACCAGTACCAAAAAAAAAAAAAAAAGACTACTGCAATATATAATGTACTTGGTTATAAAGAAGGACAAATTTGAGACATTTGTAGGAGAATGGATGAACTTGGAACATATAATGTTGAGAAATAAATCAGATACACAAACTTAAATACTGTATGATATCTTGTTTGAAGAAGGCAAAGTACAAAGAGGAAAATAAAGGATAGAAGGAGGTAAGGGGATCAATCAATCTCTCACAGATGGAAAGGGGTCTGGGGACCAAAATAACAGGGTGAGGGGAAGGGGATGGGAAAATAGAGTGAAGATATACCATGGGCAGAATTCTTATAACCTCAATGAACACATTATATGCCACAAACAGGAACTAAGATTAGTAATATCAATAAGAATGAGAAGGAGGGCTGGGGATTTAGCTCAGCGGTTCGGTAGCCTGCCTTGCAAGTGCAAGGACCCGAGTTCAATCCCCGGTACCCACCCCCCAAAAAAAAGAATGAGAAGGAACTGAGAATTAAAGGAGAGAAGGAAGGAGGAGGGAAGTGGATTTAAAAAAAGAAGCTGTATTATGTACATGTACCAACTCCTTGGGGTGACTGTAAAATGCATCTATTGCAAACATATACTAATACATTTAAAAAGTATAAGAAAAGGCAAGGGAGTGTATGAATGGAAAGTTATATAAAAATATATGTGGTCAATAGCAATGGTGAATTTTTTTGGAGTAAACAAATTTTACCTATTAAACTAGAAAAGATGAAAACTAATAAAACCACATCTGTATTCAGTAGTGTTGAAGAAATGTTACTCGTGTATTGGTGGAGTGTGAAATTATGTTTGGAGAAGGAATTATCAATATTTTAACCTTAAAAAAGAAAAAAATCATGTGTGCAAAAAACAAAACTAAAACCTCAAAGTATTCATTGTGGTAATGGGAAAAGAAAAACCAAACAAACCAAGAGAAAGTTAGAAAAAGCCTAAATACCCAATTATCAGGGATTTGTCACACATCTGTTTGATGGAATACTATGTATATAATCATTAATTATAGCGTAATCATATTGAAAGGATACCTACTTTGGAAAAATGTTTGCTATTTGTTCAGAAGGGGAAAAACAAATGGTAAAATATTATAAGAATTTCTAAAAGATTCTTCTTTGTGATAAAACCAGAAAAGAATGTTATTTTAAAATTTCAAAGCAAAGAGGTTGTGGGGTAGTAACCAGGTACAAACAGTGTTCTCAGACATCTATAATCTTGGTTGCTGGTCTTTGGACCAGAACCTTCCCTTCCTCTTCTCTAGCCTCAGTCTCCCAATCTGACTAATGGGGCTTGGGTGATGTCAGACTCCCATGTGCCTACAGTTTGCAGTTCCTGCTGTTGAAGGCTGACAACCTTTGATTTTTCCTAGGCATAGTTCTGGTTTGCATATAACATTTCCTCCCCAAAGGCTCATGTGTTCAAAGGTGACTGGATCATGAGGGATTTAAATATCAGTGAATCAATCCATTGATAGGTTCATAATGTGATGGGTTATTGGGAGGTAATGGAAATATAGGAGATGGAGCTTAATAGGGAGTTGGTCATGGGTCATGACCTTGGGACATCATTTTTTTTTTTTTTTTTGATACCAGGGATCTAATTTGGGACCTTGCACTTGTGAGGCAGGTGGCAGCACCTCTGAGCTAAATCCCCAGCCTGGGACTACATCTTGTCCCTAGCTGACTCTTCTTCCTTTTCGTCCTCCTCCCTCCTCCTCCTCTTCTCCCTCCCCTGGCCCTTCCCTTCATCTTCTCTTCTCTTCTTCTTCTTTTCCTCCTCCTCCTCCTCCTGCTCCCGCTGACCTCTTGTTTCTGGCTGCCATTAGGTAACAATTTTCCTCTGCCATTCCCTTCTACCATGATGTCTCTGCCTCACCACAAGCCTAAAAACAATTAAACCAGGTGTCCATGGACTGAAACCTCTGAAACCACGAGCTACAACAAACCTTTAATCCTTAAAAAATTTTTTTTAAAAGCTATTTTATCATAGCAATGCTAAGCTGACTTAAGCCTATGGTCCACATGGTCCATGAATTTTTTTATGTTTTATTTTTGGTAACAGGGATCGAACTCAGGACCTTGTGCTTGCAAGGTGGGTGTGGTGCCACTAAGCTAAATCCCTCACCCAAGGTGCTGGCTTGCTTGCTTTCTCTTCCTCCCTCCCCTCTCCCTCCACCCTTCCCCTCTTCCCCTTTCCCTCTCCCTCTCCCTCTCCCCCTC